TTCAAATTAACAAAGCCCATTCCTAGTATGATATTCTGCCCTAATATATCTACCTCTGTGGTTATAACACACACAGTCAATTTGGAATGTTGACTTGAATTACTGAAATGTAACTGCAAAGTAACTCGTTGACGGTGAGAAGGCAAACAAACTGTTAGCACTAATTCTTCTGAGTACTTTTCATGTTCCTCTCAACAATACTGGTGTGGGGGAATAAGATTTTATATATATTTATATTTATATATTTATGTATTCACACACAATAAGTAATCTGTGAACACAGATACAGATTAAAATACTAATACACAATTCTTAAAAATAATAAATATCAAATATCATAAACATGTTATGGAAAATCACTTAAGCCTTCGGAAACTCACTTTTGCCCCCCTCAAAAGTGAAAAAAGAATAAAGTAAATAGGCTGTAATTCATCCTTAACACGTCCTTTAAAAAACATATTTAATGACCTCTCCCTTCCTAATAACATTCAAATTGCAAGTTAAAGGCACAAGGAAAACAACATTTCAAAATATTTCGAGGAGTCTTTCGATAGATCTTGTTTTTGGAAGACACGATAATACCGTAGCGTTATTTTTTTAATTAAAAATTAGGTAGGTTTAATTACTTAATCTCTTGTACTATTGTCACGATATTCCGATTCCTCCTGCCCGAGTACGCTTTTCCTCCCCCCGAGGAGCGGCAGATCCGGAGCAGCCCCAGCAGAGAGCGCAGTTGCCATTTCACGATGCGCTCCCCAAAGTGCGAGCGGGGTTTTTGCGCTCTCTGCAGGGGGGTCACGCCGCAATTTATTAATAAATAAATAAATAAATAAATAAAATCCCAGGAACTTCAAAATGCCATTTGACATTTTCAGCACGGATTTAAAAAATAACTTTTTTTTTTTTTTAACTCCTTTCTAGTATTGTTTTTAATCAAGCCAATAACTTGGCAAACGGGACCGCTCTGAGCAGTTACTGCACTAGCGTGTGTGAAGTCCAGCAGCACACAGAGAAATCATCTCAAGCTCTGCCCAGGTTTTGAACCTGTGATTATGTGCCGTGGGCTGCACTCTGGGAAAAGCAGGTTGGTGGCATTTCTCAGGAGAAGTGGGGCTGTTTAACCCCCAGAACCTGCAGCTCCCCCGCTCTCAGGGCTGGCAAACACAGCGACTGCACATTGCAGGGCTGGGTCACTCAACGGGGCATTTCAGAGTGCAAGGAGTGTCACCTGCAGGCCAGCATTCCCAGGTCCTGAAAAGCAAATCCCAGCATCTTTACAAAGCCTGCTATGACCTTCAGCACCCACAAGTGCCTACACCCAAACCCTGCAGCACAGCTGCTCTGCAACAAGTGCATCTCCCCAGAGCGGGTTCCACCAGCACTGCAACAGCAGGGGCCAAGCTCCCGTGTCTGTGCTGCTCCAGGTTCCACTTCAGCATCACCCAGAATTTTCAGTGAAAGCCTTTTCTGTTTGATTTATATTTTAAGGCAGAAACAGAGAAAAGCAGGGAGAAATCAATGTGAGCTAGTGACACCTTGGAGACTTTTTTTCCTGAAGAAAAGAGGAGATGTTACTACTGTTGTAGGACTTAACATGTCTTTTCACTTTCTCACTGTTTGCTGAAGGGTAATTAGGAGTTAAGTCAGCTCTGGATAGCTTTTATGTTAAACACCCAAGGCAAGTCAATAGAAAAACCCCAAATACCTAAAAACTACAGCTGTCATTAAACAAAGTTTTACCTTCAGCCTCATGCTTGTTTGCCCTCCTCCCCCAATCCCGTCTAAGGTTCTGGTCAGCCACCTGTCCAGATTGCACTGGTCTAACCTTCAAACCTCCAAGTCAGTGTGTCACAGACTTGTGACAACTCCCAGAGGAAACCCGTGCATCTGGTACAGAGGATACAGCTGCAAAGGAATCGTGTTTGCAACACACTCTGTTCTACAGTTCCCGGAAAATTTTAACAGTAACTGATTTCACTGGGAAAAGGCAAAGGAGGAGGGGGAAGGCAGCCAACAAAAAGCCCACCTGCAGCACAGGAAGTCAAAATTCCTCAGCTGTAGAAGCTGCATCTTTTCCTCCCATTACAAACTTCTGCCAAGGAGGAGATAACTTACGCTCCTCTCACGTTACATGTCTGATTTTGAATTCATCCTTTCACGTATTTTTTAACTGCTTTGGGTATTGAGCAATTGAGGAACCATAAAACCACCACTAAAAGAATATCTTGCTGGATAAATACGGTGGCAGCGAATGTCAGAGGTCAGCATTAAGCCCTGAAAAGTCAGCAGAGGTCTAAACAAGATGCTAGATAAAAAAAAAAGTGAATGCATTATGAAAAACATATGGGAAATACTTTACTTTTCGTTTTAATTTCTTAAAACCAGCATTCTCGCCCTATTTTCCAAGAAAGGCTCTGCTTTCTTTGAATTGCAGGACTCCCATGAAGAAAACTATCTAGAGAATCTCTGCCTCTTTGAGGTAGGTAATCTGAAGGAGAAACTTCCTGGGATGTATTTTCTATAGTAAAACTATATTCTGGTTAGTTATGGGTGTTTAAAACCACACGGATTATATTGTTTTCCAGTAGGCACAATTCAAAAGAAGAAGCCATAAACAGCACAACCACCACATGGTAATTTTGAGCCAAGCTCCTGCAGTGAAGCTCCCAAGGCCACAAGGTCCATGACCTGCCACAAGAAGGAATTTCTTCAACTAAGATATCTGGACAAGATCAACATTCCAGACAGACTCTAAATTTTGACCTGAACTTGAGCTGACCTGACTTTCACCTTATGCCAAAACCTATCTCCTGAATTACTTCAGCATTCCCAATCCACCTTGAAGTAAACACTGCTCAGGAAATTTCAATGGCCACTTTGTATTTCTCCAGGAACATTCTGATGGAATAAACTGCAGCCACTAAAACCCCCTAAAAAATGAGCTTTCAGAATATTTTTTCTACAAATCAATTATCAAAAACTCAATTAATTTATTCCATTACCTTAGACAATATTATACCACATTATAATTCTCCCTTTTAGAATGGCACATGATTTTATTATGTATTCTATCAGTTTTGGGAGGTTGAAGGCTTCTGGGTAGAGTCTTTTCTCCTCTATCTAATAAAGGTTATTAAGAATTTAAATAAGACTTGAAAGTGAGAATAATTTAGACACCAAAGTAATGGCTACACATATCTCAAAACAGTAGTTCATTAGTGGGCTGATATTCAGCCAACTAGATTAAAGCCTCTCATTCCTTTTCCTAAATAGCTTTCCCCCCCAGCTCCTGAAATCCCAAACAAACATTTCAGCCCACGTTAAATTGCAGGATTCAAAGCAAGGAAGAAGTGTAAAACTCTGTACTTTGCCCAGTGTCTTGGTGGTTACAACCAGCAGCTACTTCAGGAAGAAAATGGAAGAGCAGCAAATCTGCAAATATACCCTCATACTGCTGTGCTCTTTAAAAATCCCAATTAATTAGACCAAATATGCCCATTGACTCCAGCACCTGCAGTGGCAGTGCCAAGGTTCTGCAGCACATTCCACAGCAGCAATCTCACAGATGCTCCATCAGCCTCCCTCCCTCTCAGAGCAGGACTGATGTCCACCCTGAGGACTGGATTATGCCACACTCCCATTACCAAAACCAGGGAGCATGCAAAATTTATCACATACACGGTAGAGAAGGCTAAAATGCTTCATTTATGCAAGCACACTCCCTCAAATTCATGACAGGGATGAGACCTGAAACTACAGTGGCTTCATCTTAAAGAATTATGTCCCATACTTCAACTAAATATTTGTTCCTGTTTTATTAATTTTCTAAACCAATATATAATAAAAAAAAATCTAGTGGTCCATGTAACCATCTGCATAGTAAAATTATGGCCAGCAGCCAATTTGAAGCGAGTTGATTCTGCTGAAGAGGTATCTGGGGTCCTTTAGATTCTCTACTTGGTGACCCTTGGTGTGGTTTAATAAAAAAAAATTCATAGGATGTGAACCACTGAGCAAGAAAAAAAATTACTAAAAAACTGATTACACTATTAAACTCTATGAAATTGAGTTTGATACATCAAATTATTTTTTAAAAATAATACTTAAACTCCGCAATACCATGGATCATGTATCAAAGTTACAGTTAACAGCAGCTTGCACTTTATTTTTACATACATTGAAAAAAAAAAAAAAAGGAGCCCCAAGGAATGTATAACACGAGGCAACCCTAAAGAAGGAGGGAAAAGGCATTTCATTTCTGGATCAGTTGTCTGCAGTAAGGTCAGCTAAAGCATGGTTCAGTGCTAATAAATAAACCCTGCATATGCCAGGTAAACAAAGCAGGGGAGCTTTCCTTGAAGCAGCTCTGACCTAAGGAAGCTGCCAAGGAGACAGTTTGTCATCACTCAGCAGGTTTTCTCCCATCCCCAACTTGCACAACTACTTTACAGTCTGATTGAGGTGGGAACCATCTATCACCAACCTCCCCTCTGTTTATTCATGTCCCCTGTTCCCTGCCCTGGCATCGCTCCTGCCTTCCCTGCTGCCCGCCCGGTCCTCACACGGAAATCTGCCTTTGTGCTCAGTCAGCTGCAGAGCAGAGCAGCAGGGAATGAAAAATCACCTCCATCCACACCAGCAGTGCCACAGCGAGCACCCTTGGAAGCACAACAGCCATCAACACGTACACAGTGCTTGGCTCATCCAACTTTGCCTTGGACAAAACCCGCCGGGAGGGCGGGGGGAGGTGGTGCAGAGGCTGCTGTGCCCGAGCACACCAGGGCTCAGGGCTGGGGCTCCTCCCCAGATTGTTCTGAGAACACAGGGAGCCCCTGGGCTGTGACATGTGCCCCCTGTGACATGTGCCCCCTGTGACATGTGCCCCCTGTGACATGTGCCCCCTGTGACATGTGCCCCCTGTGACATGTGCCCCCTGTGACATGTGCCCCTGCAGGGACCAGCTGGCAGGGCACTGATCTCGGTGTTGGAGCCAAAAGCACCATCAACATCAACACAGGATCTTCAGAGGCCAAACCCTGCAGGTGTGGCCCCAGGCCCCAGGCACTGCTACCAACAGCACAGAACTGCTCTGAAACCTAAATTGTGACCTGCAACTCATCCTTTGGAGTACTGCCTTACCAAATTAGCCACTTTTTTTCCATTTAATTGCACCTTCACACTGAGTGTGGTTAAACTGAAAAAAATCAGTAACTCCTCTGCATTTTCATTTTCAATTTAAAGTCAACTCATTGCAAATGTCACTCAAGACACATGCCTGCCCTACTGACATCACATCTGATTAAGATGAGCATTGTTTCACCAAGAATCAGCTGAAGCAGCTAATAATTTTACCAGCTAGTGAGCTCTATACATGATGACAACATAAAAGGCTTTGTGTTTCAATTTTTGTTTTCCTTCCAGCAACTTGATGACAGCTTCAATTTTTTGCTATTAGCAGGAAAATTAAAAGACAGTTTTCCCAAGGATTCTTTTTAGATGTGCCTAATAATTACATTAACACATACTTTTTGCTTTGTCCTTGTACTGAAAAAATAGGCACAATTCTGCAGAGGGCCCCTGACTGATGAAGATCTATTCCAATGTGCTTCAGAGGTTAAAAGAGAACAACTGTGGTTAAAATGAACATTTCTCAACTCAGGACGTGCTTCAGCATGCCTTGCAAAATCCACAATGTGACTTCTAAACCTGTTCCATGCTCCCTTCTGTACTACGCTTTTCAGTCTAAAAACAATCCAGAAGCATCACCATGTTATACATGAATTTCTATAACCTACATTTGCACGATGCACACAATGTATTGCAAATTTTTAAAATATTTTAAGTGGGTTTAAAGAGAATAAAAATTTGAAATGCAACTACGTGCCACCTGTCTAGTTCAGAAGTTACATTCATTCTCCTGTATAGAAAAATGAAATCATTGTTAGAGGAGCATTTTGCTCACAAGCAAAATAATCCAAAATAGAGCTTTCCTGGAAGAAAGGTATGAGAAAAAAAAAATATCCTTCTAGTTCTTACCATTAAAAAAAAACAACCAAACCCCTAAAAAAACTCATGTAAATTATTAGGTAAATGATTGAATTGTAGAGGTAGCTGAAAATTAAACCCTTTTTTCATTAAATTCAAAATTAACGCTCTCTAGCTGTATGAACAGGTCTAACAGAAACTAGACATTCCAACCCACCATACTAAGCAAATTCTCTATAGTATACATCAGAAATAAGTTCTGACCAGACAGTATTGCAGTGCACTTACATTTTTAATCAATACTTTGGAGAAGAATCACTAAGATAAGGTTTTTTTCTTCGAGCAGCAAGAATGCTGGAGAGTGAGATCTGACACGTTTCTAAAGGTCACATGAAAATGCCATTCTTTTTTCTCATGGAATTTATTTCTTTGCAATGATGAATAATACCTCATTTATTCTAAGTACAAAACCAGCATTTTCTGTAGTTCTGTAGTCAGACTTTAACTGAGGAAAGGGTAATACTGCTTGCTTTTCTATTTAACAGGTGGAATTAGTTTCTCACATTTAATATTTCATATATGATATGTCAACTGCAACCAACTGTGCTACATCTCACACAGGAATTATGCCACATTCAGGCAACTCAACTGTCAATCAAAATCAAAACTAATCTATTAATTATATTAATTACAAACCTGAGCCTACTCATCTTCATATGGTTCTTATGAAGGGAAGACAGAAATTGGGAGGTAACACGTGCAAGAAAAGTGAAAGAAGTTATTTTCAGCAACTTCTGCAGTGGGACAAGTTCAAGGTCTCCGAATATTGTTGCTACTTAGACAAGGAAATATTGACAGAAAGTATTTTTTTAGACACTTCAGAACAAGTGTTAGCTACCAAAATCAGATGGAATCTACTAAACATGGCTTTAATTGAGACTTCTCTCTTTGCCCAGTCTTTAAACACATCACTCTGAAGTTATTACAGGTTTACAAAAAACCAAAAAATATTTTTTCTTTTTTTTTTTTCCACCAGCTACTAAAAATCAATATATTTGTGTCCATCCAAGCAACACAACTGCAAGAGCAGAGAAAAATCAGCTTCAAGCAATTATCCCTGTTCATAAATCTTGGTTCAGGCACAGTAACCTTCCTCAGCTTCATACAAAGAGGCAAAGTGTGTTGCAGGAGAGTTACAGAGATCAGCAGCAAGGTTGGTTTTATTTACTGCAAACAAACTGCCTTGTATGTAATCACTTTTTCAAGCATTTACTAAACCGTATTTGGGTTGTCTTTTCACTGAATCACTCATTTGTATTTATCCAAACCCACATTATTACAGGTTACTATTGCAGCCTGTTGTTGCACTTGACTGTTCATCAAAATAATTCACAACTCTCTGCAGTTTATTGTGGGACAGACCCAGTGGAGAGTCAGAATTTATTTGCTGATGTCAAACTAAACGTTTAATGGGCCCCTGTCAGAGACTGAGACAGTTAATGGCTTAAACATTGTTCTTGAGTGTATATAACTCATGAAATCTTTGGGGTTTGGGGACATCCCCCACCCTCACTGGCTCAAGAGCAGCATTTTGACAGGACTGTGACCATCACTCACCAGCAGACATCAGAGCTGCAACGACTCAGCTTCATCTCTGGATCCAGCAGGTGGTGACTATAGATATCTTTCTACTTTTATCCTTTCTTTCTTTTCCTTATACATTTTCTTGTGTTATTTTTATGCTTTAATAATGCTGTATTGCTATAGATGACAACAACCAAAACGGCTCCATACCTGTTTTCCTCTGAAACCAAACTGTTCTAAAATAAACCCTACATATATATATATATATTTACAAACACTGATCATTCAGTGTTGTTTCACTCTAATCCACCCCAAGGGATTTATTAACAAGAACCTGGGTTACCCTCACCTTCTAGGCAGGTAGTAACAGCCCCCCAGGCTTACTTTTTGTTGGTGGAATTTCTACAGAATAATAATAAAAAAAAAAACCAACCTGAAAGTAATCAAACATATCTGGAAAGCAATTATTTTCTCTACTCCTCCCCCACCTACAAAGCACTATTGTCTCTCTAACAATACTCAGGATGGGAAGCATCCAGCAGTTCCACCAGCTTTTCCCAAGACAGCAGCTGACATTCCACCTCCCAGCCTAGTGCTGATGTGCGTAAAACTCGTACAATGAGCCCTGACATTTGTCATTGTACTTAGCAACAAATGCATTACAAGAAATTACAAGGGATGCTATCAGAAAATTGCAAACCCAGTGAGTGTTTCGCCTGGTTACTGTAATTCCTCAATGCTGTTCCAATCTTGTGCAAATTAGAGCCACTTACAGCTCGGAAAACTGACAGGAAACCCAATGAGGTTTTCATTATGCTTTTAATAGTCTTCCTGGGTTACTTGCTGCTAAAAGATTCTCGAGAATCTAAAGCCTACCCCTACATTCATGGCAGGTGCAAGCACTAACCCAAGATGGTCCATTATACTTTCAGAACAAAAAGCCCAACCAAATTCCCTTCCACGAAAGGGAAACAGGACTAGCAAGGAAAAAAAATCCAAGAGAAGCCAGGAAGGAGATTTGATTTACATTGCCTCAGTATTGTGAATGCCTCCCTCATGGCTAAAGCAACATGAACATTTTAATCAAATTTTGCATTTCTAAATCATGTTTTCTAACAGATTTATGAATACTAAAGAAACTTCCTGGTAGCTCCTGTAACACATATTTCATTAGGATTGATTCCAAAACTCCTTTACTAGGGCTGCCTCCAGTTCCATGCAGAGAACACTCGTGCCACTAAACCTGCCTGAGGGAGTGTAAACTTCAAGGAGCTGGGAAGTCTTGTAGAAGGGAGGCTTAGGACACTTCCCTAAAATTATCCCATAAAACTGGCTAGGGGTGTCACTCCAGACATGTACATAACAACAAACCACGACAGAGAACATGCCAGCCTTTCCAACGCGTTTTGGGGGTTTAGTTGTGTTGTCCTTCCACCTGAACTCCTGCTGGGTTGATGAAATCTCAGAGGCCAACAGCTCACAGGCACACTGGGGGACAGGAGCAGCAGCTGAAAGCTTCTGTAACACCAGGGAGTGGGGTTTGGGCTGTGATGCCCTTGTGCACCAACCCCCCCTCACTCTGTACCTGCTCAGCTGGTCACCTGGCACAGATCCTCACCGAGGCTGCTGCCTCAGCCTCTCTTCTCTCCTGCCACCCCCATCCTCCCAGCTCCCCACTACTGGCCAGGGGACAAAGAGGAAGGAACCCACAGAAACCTGTCAGGAAAAATCCACACACACCATTTGGTTCTGAACCAGGGCCTTGTACCTTCAGCTGCCCTTTTACAGCAACAACCAACAGCAGACAAGCTTTCCAGTTGTTCACAAGGACCATCACTTTAGTTGTTTTTATGGAATAACAACGTTTTAAGGCAAAATACTGCTTGTTACAGTTGTGAAGAGATTTCTCTTGGGGGGGGGAAGGGACAAGTGAGAGATTGGACTTGGAGTATTCAAATTTATCAAGGAAATGCAAATAGTTAGGACATGCCAAAATAAGGAAATGAAGCTCACTGAGCAGATTAATCTCTTTATAACAGAGCATCTCAGGGACTCAGTTAATGCTCTGATCACTCACCACCAGCAGCAATACATTCCTGTGAATTTTAAGACTTCTACCTTTCAAATGGAAGCATGTCAAGGTCTATGTTTCTGTTTATATCAAAATGAAGAAAGCAAACTTGTTTCCTAGAATTTTCTTCCGTTTGTTTCTAGGATTTAAAGAATCTGATCTGTGAGTCAGCATGTCCTCAGCATCCACCTTCCCCATATTAACTATCTAAAAATACAACACTGAGCAGCTGGCACTATTCAAATGGAGAGGGAGTTCAGCCTATTTTTTACATGCTTAAAACCAAGTTCAACCAAAACCACTACCACGGTCAGGCACTGAAGCTTTTAAGAACCCAACAGCATCCAAGTATCTTCTCCACACTGCACACATCTATTGTCTGTGAACCAAAACTCCCTACAGAGTTATGAGCTTTATAATTTCACAGCTGAAACCCTACATCTGCCTGCACCAGGCCCATCTGAGGTGAGTGGCATCTAAGTGATAGGAAGGGATGCCTTCAATTAAAACAAGTTGAGATCTGGTGTATAAATCAGTTTGTCTGTCATAATTCACCAGCCTGTCTTATCAATTCGTGCCTGGCATATGTTCCCTTAGGCAGCATAACCTGATGTCGTAAATTCATCATCTGCTGCTGCCTTTTTGGAAGTTTGGATAGGAGTAAAAGGTCTTTGGAGGCTGAGGGACTGAAGATAATTCCTTCTCCTGTGTTTTTCCCCCCATAAAGAGCTGACTTCGGGTAAAGAAAAAAATTGGTGCATAAAAATTCCAGCTGAAATTTTCCCTTGGGACAAGAGTCAGAAACTATTGCTTCCCTACACTATATATGCATGCTCCCTACACTATATATCCATGACTATTTCAACTTTACTAGTTCCTGATTATGCCACCATTTACAGATGCACCTTTGTTCCTTTTTTGCTTGATATTTAAGCATATGGTTATTCTGAACAGACCATAAGGCACTTAAATCCATTTCAGATGATGCAAATTGCTGCTTAATACTCTTTAAATAAAATAACCTCTACAATTTCAAATAACTATATTAGGACAGCACAGTGTATTCCAGCCATTCCTCCAGGAAACTCATCTGTGGCTGCAAGACAGAAAAGGCAGAGTCTGTGCTGAGTAAAGAAACTCAGAATACAGAAAGCAGAAATCCCAATTTGTTTCTTAGTGGATCAACTCTCTTTGAGAGCAGTCAAGAGGAATACTGCAATCGATTCCAGGCTGTACACATTTTACAGGCAATTCAAGTATTTCACCCTTGTGTTGGCATTTCCACCCAACCCCCCAGTTTGCAGGATCCAATAACCTGGGCTTTGAGCTCCGTGGGGCTCACCAGAGCAGGAATTGGGAGCTCTCGGCTTCAATTCTTAATTAGGAGTAAAATTTACAATTTAAAGTGGCAGTAAAATAAAATTCACTCCCAAAGTTTTCAGCCAGATGAAGAAGATACTTCAAAATCTCAAACAACGGTCTCACATCACAAATGTCCAAGAAAGCCTGTGCTGATGCTCTCACAGGACAAGTGAGGTGGAAGGATTTAAAATTCCAGAGAGCACAGGATATTTCATCTGTTTCTGCAAAACAATCACTGCTGGCATTCCCATATTTCTTGCCTGATCATTAACCACTGACATAATTAATATGCACTCACAGAAGCCTCAGCACAGTTAGAACATAATCACCTATAGATTTGATTCATGGAAGTGTCTTTTTGGAATAACTAAGACAGATTAGGTTCCTTAAAGTGTCTCGGATACAGAGGCAACAAAAAGCAAGTTGGGAGTTGCCAACTGTGGAGGGGTCCTAATTAACAACTCAATTAAAAAAGGCAAATTAAAACTTTATGGTTCGTTATCCTTCATTGCTTAATAAATTGTTTTGCTAAGCAAATGATTAAGAATGATTATTCCATAAAGCTGAAATAGTATCTGGGTTTCCACATTTTTTAAGAAGTTCAATAAAATAAAGGCAGTTTGTCTTCAAAATATCCGAAGCAGGACTTCATGCCAATTCAAAGACCACGACATAAATGTGCTATAATTTTTTATATTCATAGTAATTTTCTTTCTCATCTTCCCTTTTTTACACTGAAGAAAACGTCCTGCTCTTGTGATTAAGAAAATAATCTCGATCTATATAATCTCTTTCTCTTTTATAAATATACATATGTTTATATATATATATATAAAGAAAATTATCTTTTTCAAATGTATTTATATAGGGTTTTATTTGTATTTAGGTGGGTTTTTTTAATGCCACCAGTTTTGTGGCTCATCACAGTGAATTATCCTCCTCTTTACCTCATAGATTTCTTGACATATTCAGAACTTTCAGAATTATTGTTTAATAGTTTGGGATACTGAGGAACAAATATTAAACTAACAAGTTTGGTCATAGGGAATATTTCAAAAAGCTTCAAGAGGCTACAGAATGATCCACATTTGCAGTTTTAAAAGATGTTTTTTGTATATTTTTAGATTCTCTGAACTGTCCCCCAAGACAATGTTTGCAAGTCCATGTTTCTTATTGTGTTGAACTTCTACAAAGGAAATGCTTAACACTGGCTAAACACACAAATGTTGAGATATACGTACATATATATAAAGATGTACAGATATATGAATATGCTACTGGAAATAGGAAATTATTATCCTGAAGAAGTTCTGTTTGTTAATTTGTAATTCTGCATCTAATATTAAACGAATAATTAAATACACTACAATTGTTCTCAGTAGAAACTCACAGTACTGAAATTACTGAAAGAAGAATCTTGAGCTCTTTCAAACATAAGTTCCCTTGTTTTTCCTTTTTTTTTTTTTTTAAATCATACAATAGTCTTGTGTTGATGTTCACTTTAATCCCTGAAATCTGCATCTTTTATCCCAAAATTACAGGACAACTTTGTTTCAAAGTCTGACTTATCAGAGGCAGAGCAAAAAGTTTTTTCTTCAGATTATTATCACTTCCCAAAATTCAGC